GGGGGGTTTGTTTTTTGAAATGCTAGATTTGCAGGACAACTGGAGCATTGGTATTTTGGACAGTCTCTCCCAGAAGGCCCATGTTAAAGGTTACATCTCAATGTGTAACTGGTCACCAAAATGTGATGCTGTCCAAGGTCAGTTTCAGCAAGCCAGCTCGTGAGGAAATAATAAAGTGAGTCTTTGTAAAAAAGGACCAAACATCGATTGCATATGTAACGTAAGGAAATAATAAAGTGGGTCTTTGTAAAACAGGACGAAGCATTGATTGCATATGTAATGTGCCAGGTGCTGACAGGCTGCAGTTGTGGCTAGGGGCCCTGATCAATCTCTCACAAGAGCACAAGCGAGGTGGAGAGGAAATGACCTCATCAAGTCCCGGTGAGTGACAGGGAGGTCTGAGGAGGAACAGACGCCAGGAAGATGTTGGGCCACTTCGCCCCACTGCTCGCCTCCCCTCAAAGTTACCCCACGGTCTGTGACTTCCCACCACCAGGGTGGTCAGTGGGGGCTCTGCCTGGTCCCCATCAGGACCTGTTCAGCCAGGCCAGCCTGACTGGCGGTGAGCAGCTCAGGGTGAGAGGATGAGTGCCCACGTCCTGTCACCTTGGCTCTGCCAGAGCAAGTCACCGAGGCAGAAAGGCATAATCCTTTTTGGGGGAGGGGAGCTGATGTGCTGGTGTTTTGTTTTGAACCGGTTGTGGATTCGCTGGGAATGGCAAAAGTACTACAGACAGAACCCACTCCCAACAGCCTGGTTTTTAGACAGGTCTGTAGGGAAACAAGGAGCCCTTAGCAGCTTTGGGCTGCTGACCACAAGGTCAGCAGTTCGAAACCACCAGCTTCTAAGGTAGAGTCTCGGAAACCCACAGGGGCAGTTCAAGCCTGTCCTAGAGGGTGGCTCGGAGTCAGAATCGACTCAGTGGCAGCGGGAGTAGGGGAATGATTACTAGGCAGGTGCACACACCTGAGCACAATCAATCATTAGAGCTCCAAAGGCAGCCTTTACCCATGGACAAAGTTCGCAAGGGCGAGGAAAGCGGGGTGGAAACGAGCACCGGGTGGGAGTAGGAGAAAGCCGTGGTGCGCAGAGGGATCTGCAGTCACCGAGGCAAAAGCAGGGTGTGCGAACTGGGCAGGAGGCCCTGGTGTGGATGCGGACCATCACTCCAGGAGAGCCCTGATGGCACAGGTAAGTATTGAAATGCTAACCAACGGGTCAATGGCTCAGACCCACCAGCCGCTCCTCAAACAGACAGAGCAGGCAGTCTGCTGTGCAGCCTCAGGACCCCCGCGCAGCAGCTCTGCTCTGTCCTACGGGGTCACCGTGAGTCACCATGAGCCAGAATTGGCTGGAGTACTGGGGGGTTTGTTTTTTGGGTTTTCCATTGCTCTCCCGCCCCGCTGTGCAGTGGTGTTGGTGACAGAAGCTGCCTGCATGTTCTTGGCTGAGGCTGAGCCACTCAGAGGACACTGGAGCTACAGCCCTGTCACCACTCCTGACACTGTCCCCAGGATTACTGCATGGCGGCAGTAAGCCGCAGCTCCTTGGGGACAGCACCAGCTGCTCCTGGACAGTGGGGACGAGTCCATATAAGGGACTGCCACCTAGGCAGAAGCAGGGTCTGTCTCCTTCAGGAGCTCCTTGCCAAGTCACTGCTGTGTTCTGGTTTCTAGACGTTTGTCAAGTGAGGACACGGGGCTGGATGAGCTGAGGCATCTCCTTACTGGCAGCCTGTGGATTCGGGCTGGCAGATGAGCCCAAGAAAACGAGAATAAGGCCAGGTTGTGTCCTTTATTTTGAAGCTGGGGCTCAGGTGGCCCCGCCTGGAGGATGAGGTAAGAGCCTTCAATCTGCTGAGGAGCAGCCTGGGCGCTCACAAGGGCAGCTGAGCAGCTAGAGCCCCTGGTCCAGCCCAGAGTCGTAATTCACGTAACAGCGGAACTCGTTGGCCAGGTTCCGGGTGTGCTGGGGGATGAACTTGCACCTCTTCACTCCCAGCAGGGTCGCAGCTGCTTCCTCCATGATGGCCCCTGAACAGAAGCAGCCCGTGAGTCTGAGCGGTACACAGCCACCAAGAGCTCGCTGTCCCCGGTGCAGATCACGCCCGACACTGGGCACTCGGGTGGCGATGGCCAGTACTAGCCAACAAAGAAGGGGGAGGCCGGGGTCCCTCCCCTTGTCTTCAGCTTCCTTTTGGCGTCCTCAGATATTTCTGCAGACGGCCCAGTGAGCCCGCTCTGCCGTTGCACAGTGCACGCTGCGCCACGCGTCTGCCCCGAGGCTCTGAGTGGGTGATGGGCCACACAGCGAAAGGGAAGGGACTCACAGAGCACAACCCCCGGGACTGCTGGCCAGCATTTCCACCTGAGCCTTTCTCAACAGCACATGCTCCTGCCAGTGCTACCCACACGTGGGCACCCAGTGCCTCTCTGGCCCCAGCCTCTCCCCTGCCTGACTGCCTGAGGGGTACCCAGAGTTTTGTTGTCCAAAGCTGGCCTCTAGACCCTCACCCCAAACCCCTTCTCCCCCTCAGCCCTGGCATCAGCCTCCCTGTCCCTGCATAGGCCATCTCCACCAGTGTCACTGTTCCTCCACTAGTCTCACTGTCCTCCATCACCCTCAATGTCTCCTTCAGCCTCCCTGCCCCCGCCCCAGTAGTCCCTCTCATTAAATCACTGCCCATAAGTCTCGGTCCCCCTGACTAGTTTCACTGCCCCTCCATTAATCTAGCTATCCCATCAGCTCCACTGTCCCCTCAAGGGACACCCCCTCAGCCTCACTGTCCTATTAGTCTCCCTTTGGCACAGGCCAGGGACCTGGAGTCGTCCTCAATTTCAAACCACAGCATGTTTGGGCCTCCATTCGGTGCCCTCGTCCATGGTAGCAGCCCCAGCCCCAACCACCACCACCTCAGCTGACTGTGAGGGCCTCCCGCCCACCTTCCTCAGGTGCCCTGTAAAAGCCGTATCCGGTACAAAGTCAACAAGGTGGGCCCTGCCACTTGGACCTAACAGCTTTCCAAGAAAACCCGAACTCCCTACTGTCAGCTATGAAAGCCCACCCCTCTCCCTGCCATCACTACCTCATTCGCCCCTCCCCACTGGCTCCAGCCCCATCTGGGGCTCCTGCTTTGGGATTGCAGGCCCGCACCACCACCACCACCGCGCTGAGTGCGTGCTGTCCAGCAGAGCAGCCTTCCTGACGACACGAGCAGCCCCCCAATACCAAGGCAGCAGAGGCCTGGTCACAAGCTGGGGGTGGGTTTCCCTAGGGAGCACGCTGAGCCTGAGATGGGAGTAGGTCCCAGACAAACCGGGGAGCCTTCTTGTTAATGTTGTAGCTCTGGGTCCAATTTTAGGAGACCCATCAGAGGACAACACAACAAGCTTGCGAGTGAGAAAATTCCTAATTTAAAAATCATAGTCCTCATTTCTGGAGCCTGGTGGCATATTGGGTTAAGCACTGGGATGCTAACTTCAAGGCCGGCAGTTTGAAACCAACTCCTGGGCAGAAAGATGAGACTTCCGAAGCCCATAAAGATGTACTGTCTCAGAAACCCACAGGGACCGTTTGCTCTGCCTTATAAGGGTTGCCCTGAGTCCAAATTGGCTCGATGGCAGAGAGTCATGATTTCTAGCTATATAGCTGTAGGCAATTCACATCTTTCTGGCTCCCAAATCCCTCTTTCATCAAGGGCAGAGATTGGATCAAGTAGTAGGAAATCGAAACCCACCCTGGCCAGCATCCACTGTTGCCCGCTTTCTCGGGAAGGGAGAGCTGGCACCTACCTGTGCACAGCAGAATCTTGCCCTGAGCCAGGTACTGGATGGTTTCTGATGTTTTCCGGAGACATTCCTCGGAGAGGTAGGGCGGATCGGCTACAACGATGTCGAAGCTGTGCGCAGCGATGCGCGCAGGGAGCTCCAGGGGCTTGTTGTAGTCGTAGAAGATGAACTCCTCTCCATAGACGGCAAACCTCCGGTCATACTCAAAGATGTACACAGACACGGCCTGCCCGTGCCGCTGCCTCAGCTTCTGGTAGACACTGGGGGCGCTGACACAGGCAATTCTGAAATACAAGAGCACCCACTCACCGCAGGGCTTTCACTGGCAGTGGGCGGTGTGCAGCCATGCGCACGCGCACACGTGCGCACACGCCCTTGTGTTCCGATGTAAGCTTTTGTTTGCTTTAAGGAAGAAATGGTGGAAATGAATAGCAGTGAATTCAAAGAAGGAAAACAAAAAGCCTATACTGCCTCTCTTTTTTAGGAATTTGGCATTTAACAACCTGCAACTCAATTTCGAGGCATGAAACTGTAGATGTGCTTTTTATAGGGAGGCAGGATAAAACATCAGGAACACATGCTGCAGAAGGCAGCTATAGTCAGCCCAGATTTACCTCCTCTGAGGATGAGGCAAAAAGTCTTGCTGCCAGGGCTCCGCACACACGCACACATCCCAAGCAAAGCTGTGTACACGCGTCTCTGCCGTCAGACACGTTCTGATGAGCTCCTGCACTGATACACTTGTCTCAGTCTCTTGTGAGGCAAGGTCTCTTGAGGGGAAAAGTCCACTCGAAACAGTGGTTTCAAGAGGATGTGATGAGCCAGTTAAATTCAAGGCCAAGAAGAGATCCGCTCAGGTCATGATGACTGTTTTTTGATTCGCAAGCAACATCTGGATAGGTTTTCTCAAAGGACACAGATGATCACAGGGGGTTATTATAAAGTCTTAAGAAAACTGAAAACTGCATTGATGAGTTAGAACCCAGGGAAGTGGAGCCAAGGAACTGTTTCCTGTCCCCCTAGCGCATCTGCTCCTTCCTCCCTAACAGCCAGAGCTGCCCTGGGAGTATTTACTCAGACATCGCCACTCCATCCACCGTCCAGTCCTGCCCTTGTCCTTTGCCACCTGTTTCTGTTCCCCAAACTCAAAGAACATGTCAAAGCAAATTCCAAAAAAGCCTGGCTGAGAAGGCCATTTGGAGAGTTAAAACAGTAGAAACTCTGAACCCGATTCAGGCTCTAACTCTGCTGGGAGCATGTGGCCTCCGCAGACATGATCATATGTTTTTCTGGAAGCCCCTAGGCTGACTTCCCCCCATTGACCAGAGCCACAGTCCATGGTCACACCTAAACCAGTCACTGTGAGGAAAACGGCAGGAGGGGAACCCAGTAAATGTCTTAGAGCAGCCAGGGCTATCCCCGGGGGTGAGGTTTAGGCCCCCTCACTTAAGTCATTTGGAAGGGGGCACCCACGAACAAACTCAGGGTTTTGGCAACAAGAAAGATGTGCATGTGCACCTGCATGCACACAGGGCAGAACAAACTCAGGGTTTTGGCAACAAGAAAGATGTGCATGTGCACCTGCATGCACATAGGGCAGAACAAACTCAGGGTTTTGGCAACAAGAAAGATGTGCATGTGCACCTGCATGCACACAGGGCAGAAGGACTGGGGGTGGTGAATGACTGCTGGGTGCATTATCATCTGGATGAGACAAGAAGCCACCTGTGCTAATGAGCGGGTAAATAAACACCCAGAGAAGGTGTGGGGGAAGCGGCAGAAAGACCAGGCAGGGGTCCAGGCCTATTTCTGAACCTTGGGCTCTACATGGAAAAACAAGTAACAGAACACTCAAAACCCACTGCCATCGAGTCGATGCCGAGTCCTGGGGACCCGCTGGGGCAGGTGGAGCTGCCCCTGGGGCTTCCGAGGCTGTCACTCTTCACAGGAGTAGAAAGCCCCTTCTTTCTCCCTCAGAGTGGGTGGCAGTTTCGAACTGCTGACCGTGTGGTTAGCAGCTCAAAGAATAACCACTACTCCACCAGGGATCCAGAAGAGCCAATTAAAAGGGAGTTGAAGGAGTGAGGGGAGACCTTGCAGGAGAGGGAGGGAATGAGCATTGCCTATTTTGCAGGTTTCTTTAAGAACCATTTCAGTTATATACTTTAAATTACAAGCTAAGTTGTTTTTTTTTATTGTGGGAAGCACATATATATAGAACAATGCATTGGCCATGTCAGCATTTCTACAGGTACCGCGCAGTGGCATTAATTACATTTATCTGTCTCCATCAACCATGACAGCTCAGTGCGCCTTTAGCAGTAACCTCCCTTTCCCTCTTCCCATGCCACCCCCCCTTTGCCCCCTCCACCAAAAAGCCCCCAAACTCACTACCACCAAGTTCATTCCAACTTGTGGCAACTCCATAGGGCAGGGTAACCACTAATAAGCTTACATTAAACGCAGGTCATCGAGACAAGTCCGACCCCAAATCTTGATGGGAGCAGAGAGCCTCATCGTTCTCCAGTTAATAAGCTTTGGTCTCTCTCTGTGCCTCTTCTAGATATCCCACATAAACGAGAGCACACAGTATCTGTCCTTTTGTGACTGGCCTTTCACCAGTAGCATGTTTCCAAACTCATCCACACTGTAACGTGCCAGGACCCTGTTTTGTGAGATAGCTCGGTATAGATGCACATTGTATATGTAGACCACAATTTATCTACCACGTGTTGAAGGGCATGTGCAGTTTCTACTGTTTGGCTATTCTGAATAATACAGCCATGAATATTGGTGTACCCATTATCCGTTTGTGTTCCTGCTTTCGATTTCCATAGCTGTCCGTAGGAGACAGAGCAGAGCTGCCCCCTGGGGTTCCCCAGACGGAATCTTTAAAGGCGATGACAGCCTCAATGGTAACCTGAGGAGTGACTGGCAGGCTTGAACCATCAATCTTGCCACTAGCTGCTGCCGAATACTTAACCCACATCGCCACCAGGGCCCCAGCTTTAGATCTGAATGCAAACAAACCCAGAACTCTGGCTCTCACCTGCCACCTTCGCCGGCAACTGCCATGGCCTCCTCTGCGAGCCGTTGCGCGGTGTCTGGGCTGTACCAAAATTGGCTCAGTTGCTGGAGCGGAGGGCAGGGGAGAAATTAGTTTGCAGCAGCCATAAACAAACGTCGCTCTTTCCGTCTGCACCTTCCATCCCAGGGGGTCTACACACGCTGTACGCAGCAGCCATAAACAAACGTTGCTCTTTCCGTCTGCACCTTCCATCCCAGGGGGTCTACACACGCTGTACGCCTTTCCCCTCACCGCTACTGTTTCTTGTTTAATTCTCTTACCAAAAGCCCTTGTGAGTCAGAACTGACTCGATGGCAGTGAGTTTGGGATGGATGAATGGAATCTAAGCATTGGGCATCGTGGGCTAACACACCTGGAAACAAATTCGTTCTCCTGACCACAGAACAGCCGCCGCCACCACCACCTTCTGTGAAATCTCACAGCCCTCGAGTCCATTCCGACTTGCTGCTGTCACAGCAGCAGACAGCCGGATCTCTCTCTAGGGCAGCTGGTGGGCTCAAACCTCTGACTTTACATTGAGCAGCCCGATGGGGAATCCACTACATCACCAAAAAAGGTTCAGTCCATGTTAGGAATTTCCATCAACTCTTTTTTCCCCCGTCTTCCGCCTCATTGTTTTTATTAGGTTATAAAATTGCAATGAAGTATAGAACAGGCACATGCTGGAAGCCATGTGTCCCCTGGGAGCCTGCCCATGGCCAGGTGCTCTCAGCCTGCAGTTTCTGGAGCTGCGTGTCCGGCAATGGGGTCTCTCTCTCCCAGACACCAGCAGAGCACCGCGACGGAACACAGCCTACAGCTGCGCTGAACAAAAGGGCCCCTTGTTCCACCAAATGGTCATCAGAGCCAGGGCATCTGGCTTAGCTCCCTAGAGACTAGGACCAGCCTCTGAATGACAAGTGCCAGTGGCCTGGGCACTGGGTGGGGCATGGACCGTTCCCCGAGAGCCATCTCACTCACCCAGTCCTCGTCCAGTGCTCCAACGGTGTATTTGGCCTCCCCGCTTGGGGCCACGTGCCGCTCCCGCTCAGCATAGAACTCCTGCAGCGCTGCCAGGGTGTGGGAGGAGAGCTGGGGGGTGCCATCGTCCTCGGAGTCGCTCATTTCACAAAGGGCTACAGCCGGCTGGGAAGCAGCAAGCCGAAGACAACGCTGGAGATGAGACCCAGGCGGGATTCGAGCCGGTGAGCTATAAAACCAAGGATAACCTGTTACTCTGAACCCAACATGCACTGCGACTCCCGGCGACCCTATAGGGCTGGGTAGAACTGTCCCTGTGGGTTTCCCTGGCTAGAAAGCCACGTCTTGTTTTTCTCCCCAAGCGGCTGATCTTGCAGTTAGCAGTCAAACACTTAGAACACCATGCCTGGAGAAAGTAGCAAAAATAGAGTGCCATGTGCCCACCCTACCCCTCTGTAGCATCTTACCTCATTATCACGAGATCGCAGAACAAAGTCACTGACAGTCATGGGATTGCCCACTACCGCTGAGTCCATGCAATTCATAGTGACGCTATATAGTGTTTCCAAGACTAAATCTTTAGAATTGCAGTTGGTGGCTTTGAACCACTGGCCTCACAGTTAGCAGTCCAATGCTTACCCTGCAGTGCTACCAGGGCTCCTGAGGAGATCACAGTCACCTGTTTCTAGATATACCTATACTGTGTGTGTTTCTTTCTAGGAAATTTGACCACAGACAGAACCTTTAGACCCAGCCAACGCCCTCCTCGGTGCTAACCTTTATAACCACCCACCTCCACCTCATCTCCTGACAGCTACTCCGTGTTCCCCACCTTGCTAGTCCTGTCACTTACAAAATATTGTACCATTGGAATCCTACAGCCCACGATGGCTTCTTTTCTCGTCCCTCAGCAGAGCACCTCTGCTATCTATCCCCGGGGTCGCCTGCCTCTGTGGTGGAATGGCTGTGCCACAGTTCAACCATTTGCCCCCCGAAGGACACTTGTATTGTTTCCGGTTGGGGCTCTTAGAATAAAACCACTAGGAACATCTGTGTACAGGCATTTATTTTTATTTTTTAAATTGTGTCCTGGTATTTAACGCCCACCCTCCCCCTGAATAGAGGTATAGATTGTTCATATATTCACCAGACAGACCACAGCATCTGTATCATGTGTGAGTATTCTGACTACCTTACAAAGCCTCAGCACAGGAGACAGCCTAGTGGGCATCATGTGGATGAGCAGTTCAAAGCCACCAGCCCCTCCTTGAGAGAAAGATGAAGCTGATTTAGTCTCAGAAACCCACAGGGGCAGTTCTACTCTGTTCTATACAGTTGTCATGAGTCAGAATTGATGGCAGTGAGTTTGAAAGGCTTTTTTTTTGTCAGGCAATAGAGGGCCAAAATAAGAGTAAACCGATAATAAAATCAAATTAAAATAGCACTGTACCATGATGAGATGCTAGCGATATGGGTCAGCCTCAAAATTGACATGATTCCTTTTCTGAAGGGGACTCAGGACCATTCCTGCATATTGACCCAACTCTCGTGGCTGAGTTTTAAAACCTTTTTATTTGGAAATAACTATAGATTCAAAGGAGGTTGTAAACAAGACCAGTAAGGTCTGATGTGTTCTTCACCCATTTCCCAACTACAGGCGTAGTGGGAGGAGGGACCCTAGTGGTGTGGTGGCGAAGTGCTGGGCGGCTAAATGAAGAGTCGGCAGTTCGAACTCACCAGCTGCTCTAGGGGAGAAAGATGAGGCAGCCTGCTTCCATAGATGACAGCAGTTCTACTCGGTCCCAGAGGGACACTCTGAGCTGCAACTGACTCCATTGTGTGAGTTACAGAAACATAATGCTCCTCATGCACATCTCCCAGGTTTAATGTGCAGTCATTGTGTGCGCGCCCAGTTCTATAGAGTATAATCACACGCGTTATAATATTTCATGAAAATAAGGCATGGCCTTACACCATTTCAGGGAGAGGGGTCCTGGAGAACCCACATACCTCTTGCATTTGTTCCCTGTGTTTATTATGTGTGCACATTGTTTGAATGGCAAGTCTGAAACAGACCCATGTAGCCACTGCCACAGACAAGACGGCACAGTCCCAGCACCTTGCGGGATTTGCTGTCCCTCCCCTTCGTAGTCACACTCATCCCTAAGCCCAGGCTAGCACCAATCTGTTCTCCAGGTAATTTTGTTCATATAAGCAGAACCACACAGCATGCTAACTCCTGAGCCCGTTTTTTATTGGGTATCATGTCTTTTTATTCATCCATGCTATTCTACCGCCGTACTGTTTTACTGCTGGGCAGTTAGTATTCCCCGGCACAGCCACACTGTTGAAGCATCCACCACTGAGGGCTGTTTTACCTGCTTCCACGTTTTGTCTCTTACAACAAAACTCTAAACCCAAGCTCACGGCCACCGAGTCAGTTCTGACCTGTGGCGACTGGACGGGATAGAGTGGAACTGCCCCCTGCGGACTTCCAAGACTACAACCCTTTATGCAAGTAGAAAGCCTCATTTTTATCCCTGATCAGCAACTGGTGGTTTTGAACTGCTAACCCTGCAGTTAGCAGCCCAATAGGCTGTACATTCATGTTCGGATTTTTATGTGGACATAAATGTTTATTTCTCCTGGGATAAAGGCCCAGGAGTGTGATGGTGGATGGTATGGTCTGGGTGTGTTTATTTTATTGAGACTGTCACAATACTAATGAATTATAAAAGTGGGTGGGGCTCATCAAATTAAGAATTAACGTTTTGTAATATAGGTTTTCACTGTGACCAGAGTAGTTGAGATTCTCTTTGCAAGCATGTAGACTTTAGATACACCAGGGTGAGTCCAAAAGTATTGCAACTAACTAGCCAACACCCCCGGTGGAGAAGCTGAGGTCAACATGGAATTTGCAATATTTAAAGTGGACACAAAACTGTTTCCGCACTACAGACAACAAAGTGTGTTGTTGTGGGTGGTGGTGGTGCCTTCGGTGAAACATGTCTCCTGATAGGCTGCATGACAATTTCCCAGGTTTGCCCTGCGACCACAGTCCTGATCCGGGAGGGCCCTGCACTCAGACTTCCCCTGCGACCACAGTCCTGATGGGGAGGGCCCTGCACTCAGACTTCCCCTGCGACCACAGTCCTGATGGGGAGGGCCCTGCACTCAGACTTCCCCTGCGACCACAGTCCTGATCCGGGAGGGCCCTGCACTCAGACTTCCCCTGCGACCACAGTCCTGATCCGGGAGGGCCCTGCACTCAGACTTCCCCTGCGACCGCAGTCCTGATCCGGGAGGGCCCTGCACTCAGACTTCCCCTGCGACCGCAGTCCTGATCCGGGAGGGC